ATAATCGTCATATGCGGGAAGTATTGATTTTCTTCTTTCATTCGAAGAAAACAGCGGCTGAAGCGCATAGAGAGCTCCAAAAAGTTTACGGAGATGCTGCTCTAAGTGAAACAACGTGCCGAGATTGGTTCCGTCGCTTCAAAGACGGTGATTTCGATGTTGACGACCGTCCGCGTGAAGGAAGGCCAAAAACCTTCGAAGACGCTGAATTGGAGGCATTGCTCGATGAGGATCCGTGCCAAACGCAAGAAGAGCTTGCTTCAGTATTAGGAGTTACCCGCCAAGCCATTTCCAAGCCATTTTTTCACAATAAAGTTGCATTTTCATCAAAATAAGCGAAAAAAAACAAATACAGCGAGAACTTAGTTGCGCACCTAATATTATTATAAATTCATTTCTTTTTTTTCATACTAGAACATAACAAGCGCGCGCTTTGCGCGCGCTATTAAACATTTCGACTTATAAACTTTTACATATAAGTTTTAAAATATAAATTAAAATTTAACTTTCTAAAAGCTCAACGAATTATAAATTTCAATAAGGCTAACAAATAATGACAAAGAGTCTAGCACGATGTAGATACTCAAATAATTATATATTTATTAGGTGTACAAATAAATTTCCGTTTGACAAAAGACGGCGCCACTAGCAAGGTATGGTTAAAATTGTCTGATGTAAAACATTATATCATTATAAGGTTGGACATCTGTCAACAACATAACCTTGAAATACTAGCGATTTTGTATCAGCATATATTTTTTTTGTGCGAAAATACCGAGTTTTGAGCCGAATAAGCGTCATTTGCGGGAACTTTTGATTTACTTCTTTAATTTGAAGAAATCTGCAGCTGAAGCTCATCGATTGCTTGTAGAAGCATATGGTGAGGCTGCCTTAAGTGAGAGAAGTTGTCGTGAATTTCAAAAATTTAAGAACGGTGAATTTGACGTCGAAGACAAAGAACGTAGCGGAAGGCCGAAAGTGTACGAAGACGCGGAATTGGAAGCATTATTGAATGAAGATTCGTGCCAAACGCAAAAAGAACTTGCACTTACATTTTGACTTACATCAATAAAACATTATGTATCGTTCTGTATTCTTTCACAATAAATGCTTAATTTTTTATTAAAAACGGCGGAAACTTATTTGTATACCTAATATATATTACAATATATTATAAATTCCAGACATTTCAGTTTTCATAGAACCATCTTTAGTGGACAATAAACTTACAAATTCATCAATCTTCTAAATTCCTACTCGTACAATGCAGTCTTGTCTTATTCGTAAGACGTTAGATTATAATTATATAATTTTTTAAATATATAATTTTTTTGTGATTTCTCCCTTAATATCTTCGCTATTATATAGCGAATCCTAATGATTACTTATGAAATTATTTGTTCAGTAGCTCGCCATTACACCATGACGCTAATATATCTACCAATACTCAATCACCAATACTCAGCAATACTTATTATAATCAGTATTTTTATTTTCAAATATTTCGAAACATTTCTGAATTATATCTACTTCCTCATTTTTCTTAAACTTAAGCGTATTATCACATTAATATATATTTTGGAATGTGTTATTTATTATTTAACATTTTATTTGACTATATATATTTTGAGTTATACAAATTTAAACAATAGCAAGGCATTTTGCTAATATGGCCCTCTATGAATATTAATTACTCACGATCTCTTTTTTGAAGTTTTCATATCAAAATAATTATTTTACAGTCGACTCTTTTATTAATCTATAGTTTATATTACATATACTATTTTTAGTACTAAGATTTTTAATACTGAGCAGCTTATATATAGAATTTGTGTGAATGTACAATATATACATTTAGTTATACATATTTAAAAAAATGTTTTGTTAATTTTGTAATCAAATACTGTTCTAAATTTTGTAACCAAATATTATTTCTAAACAAAACTAATATTTTAAAGCTATTTTTATGAAAGGTCACATTACCCATTTTTTCTTCGAGTCATTATGCAATTGCGATTACATTATGCAATCGTCACATTTTTATTAATAGTATCCATGGTAGAACTAGAAAGGTAAACCAAGGTGATGTATGCGCAATCGGTTGAAAGTAATGAGGGGATCAGTCAATCAAATTTTGAGCTAATTTGCAGAGATGCACATAACTCATTCACACTGCAAATAAGCTTAATTTCTGATTGGTCGAGATCTCAGATCATATGACGGGTCCTCCGCCATTATGTGCGTTGGTTCACCTTTCTAATTCCACCATGATCATATCCTAAGTAATCAATATTTTGTAACTTTGAGTTCATAATTGATTCAACAATTGACATTTTAACGAATGTAATTGTCAAGTTTTAAACTTAAATATTGATTATTAACAAACTTATTGTGTGTAAAATGTAACTGGGGTGTCATAATATCACCTTCTCTTCTATTAGTATTCTTTTAATATTACAAGAAGACGTGGTTTTGAAATTTGTATGAAATAAAAAAGTAAAACTTAAGCACACACAGTATTAGATTTATTAATATTCATTTGACAAAAAATTATTGTACTAAATTAAAAAATAAAATCCAAGTTTAGATATTATCTTTAAAGATTGACAGGAAAGATTATATCCGATAAAGATCTTTATTGGAATTTGTTTATTAAAATTAAGACTAAAATATTGTGAAAGATGCTAACAGTTAAATTACAATTCTTTGAAGAATACGATAGCACCAAATCTTTAATTCATTGTTATTTAATTAAACATTTAAGTAAATATATATAAAATATATATATATATATGTGTGTATATATATGAATGATATATGTGACACTATTTTGTTTAAAAATAAACGTCATATAAAACCGTCATCTATTCTATTATTTTCATAATCTGTCTTTCTTTTCGTTTACTTTTTCTTTCTTTATATGTTCTCCTTTCTATAAATTCTTTCCTTTTCATAAAACCTAATAATTAAGAATAAAATGATACAAAGATTGAGATAAATATGATTTTGGTAATTGGATTTTTAACATTATATTTATATAACATTATATTTCTTTTCACAGCTCCTTTTCTTCTTTTTTGCTCTTCTTTTTTTATCTCCTTTCATTTTCTTTTTTTAAATCCCTTTTTTCTATGAGTTTTTTTCTTTTTTTTCCTTTTCTTTTTCCATTTCAATTCTTTCATTTCCAAGAGTTCTTTTTACACGCAAATATAATTTAAATACTAATATTTTGTTCTACATAATATTATGCTTCGTTTCAGATTTCTTTTCTTTCATTTTATTTTCCTTCATATTCTTTCTCCTTTTCTTTTTTATTATTTCTTTCCTTTTCTTTCTTTTCAACCTTATCCTTTCTATAAATCCTTTCTTTCCAATAATAACTGAGAATGAAATATTATTCATAGATATTATATGTATACGTATAGATATATATTGTATTAGGTGCGCAACTAAGTTCTCGATGTTATTTTCATGGCATTTGCATCAAAATAACAGCGAGAACTTAGTTGCGCACCTAATAGAAATCTGGATGAAATTAGAAATCTATTACGGCTTTTTAAATTTCTGTATGTATATTACGTTATGCTTCCTTTCATATATCTTTTCCTTCGTTTTCCTTTTTTTCTTTTTCTTTTTTTTTCTTTTTCCTTGCTTTTCTTTTCTTTTTTCTTTTCCTCTTCCTCTCTTTTCTATGAATCCTTTTCATGAAAAATATTAATAAAAGAAAAATATAATCGAGAGATACTAATATTTTGTTCCACATAACGTCATGCTTTCTTTCACATCTCTTTTCCTTTCTTTTATTCTATTTTTTTTTACTTTTTTTCAGATCATTCCTTTTCTATTTCTTCATCTTTTCCTTTCTTTTCGGTTCTTTTTTTTATAAGGCCTTTCCTTTTGATGAAGATCACTAATAACTGAAAATAAAATATAATTCCAAGATATTAACATAAATATAAATCAATTTAGAATAAATGAAGGGTTAAGAGCCGGTTATGTAACAAAAAATTTTTGAATTTAACACATGAAAATGAAGATAGTTACATACGTTTTAACACCGATCGGGTCATTCTCAATGTTACAGTAAATATAATTATAAAATTGTCGGAAATCTATGTAGTCAACAGTATTCATGTTCTGTGTTATAAAGTTGCCAGTTAATAACTTAATAAATAATTTCATCGTTATAAATTCTCGGCAGTAAAATCGTAATAATCTTATTAGATAAAAAGTCGTATATATGGAAAAAGAAAAAACGCAAAAGGATGGTGATCCACAAATGTTGCAAGTTAATAACTTAAATAGACCAACTCATCGTTGAAAATTCACAGCAATAAAATTCATAGTAATAATCTAAAAGTAACCGATAACAAAGGAGAATTAATTTTACGCTGAATGCGTAAAATTAACAATATATATAAATATAAAAATGTATCTTATTTAATAGTATGTTGAGCGTATATAAAAATGAACGCAAAAAAGTTGTGATCCACATCGTGGTAACAAACAGTAGTTATTACTTGTGAAGCCTTATTATTACTTATTATAAATATAAATACTTTGCTCCATATAACATTATGCCTTCTTTCAACATTATACCTGTTTTCCTTAATTTTTTTCTTTCCTTCTTTTCTTTCTGTTCTTCTTTTTTTTTCTTCAGGATGAATTACCAATTGGTTTAAAGAAAACACATAACTCAATTATGTTTCAACTGTTTCGTCAACTCTTTCCTCTCTTCCATCTCTTCTATCTCCTTCTTATCTCACTTTCATCTTTTGTCTCTCTTCTCTTTCTCTTGTCTCTCTCTCTCTCTCTCTCTCTCTCTCTCTCTCTTTCTTTCTCTCTCTCTCATAACTTATTTATTTTTCACTTATTTTCTTTTCACTAAAAAATATATGTACCTATATGAAAAAGTATACAAATTTTAATACGATTTTTCTTTCCCATCTTTCTTCCTCATCTTTCTTCTTTTTTTATATTTTTCTCTCGTTCTTTGTCTCTCTTTCTTCTAAATTCTGTCTTTCGTCCCCTATCTCTGTTCTCTCGTGTCACATCTCTCGTTTTTAATCTTTCTGGTCTCGTCTCATCTCTCTCTGACCATCTCATCTTTCGTTTCATCTCTGATCTCCTTTCGTTCTCGCTGCTGTTTCTATCTCTTTCATTTTCTTCTTGTTTCACTCTCCTCTCTTTTTCTCATTTCCAATGTCTTATCTTGCCTTTGTCATCTCTTTCTTGTTATTACTAAAAAATAAATAGTTTATGAGATATTTTATATAAAAAATGTATCAAAATGAATCATAAAATATCTCAAATTATTAATTAATATTGACAAATATTGAAAATTACAATCAAAGATCAGATTTTGTCGAAATTGTGCTACTTTTAATGCGATTTTCAACACGTGCCATCAGTTGCCATCAGTTTGTCTACCTTTGAATAAAATTACTTGGTTCTAGTACAGATTACGTTTTTAATGACATTGACATGTAACTTTCAGGATATTCTAGTAAAAATATACAGATTGAAATATTTTAGAAATATACTTTGAAGAAAGAAGATTATATTATCTTTTAAATCCTTGCTTTTTCTTTTTAGATCTTTCCTTTCAATAAATCTGAAAATAAAATACAGCACAAAGAATTAATTCTTTTATAATTATAAAGAATTCTTTCATAATTATAAAGAATGGAAAGAATAAATTAATAGAGATTGTAAAACTTATCTAATACGAAATTGAAGAGAAACTTATAACACTTTGAAAAAAGAGATATTCATTACATTATATTAACCTCAATACACAATTGTCAATCACATTTATTAAAGTCAAAATTTCGACGATGATAGCCGTTCACTCAGTAAGCAAATGTTATTACGAAAGAATCAATCATTGCGGAAAAGCGACAATAATAAGCTTCGAGAGATGCGAGCAATCGACTTAACATGTCCTTTTTAGATAGGATTTATGTATTTTTTTTATTAACAAAAACACACTTATATGATGTATAATATGTATATTACGTATAGTACGTATGATATATATGTACGTACATATGTACGTATATATATATATATATATATATATATAATATATATACATATACATATATATACATATATATGTATATATATATATATAATTTTAATTTCTTCTCCGCTCCAATATGAATGTTGTCAACTTCTCAAATTGTTAAGACGCGCTATAATGGAGTAGAACAAACGAATAAGCTATCTATAATGTATATATATATATATATATATGTGTGTGTGTATATATACGTACGTTGGTACGTATGTATGTACATAAAGAACAAATGAATAAGCCATTCACAGAGAAAAATTTTTCACAAACAATTATAAATGAAATACTTACGATTGAACGTATGAATCCATATCTTCCGAGAGCCTGAGGCAGTAACATTGCACGAACATTACTTAGAGTACACGTATGAATTTCAGATTTTATTTCCATTTTACTAAATTTTTACAGAAACGTAACTCTAATGCTCTATCTGGTATGTTCAACACCAAGTATTAGTGCGTGTTAACACATTGCGGAAATCAAGTTCCCGATTGCTAATTAAATGCGTAAGCGACTACCAGCCTAGGTTAGCCATTTTACACAGACAGACTTTCCGCAAAATATCCTCGCAGATATTTATATGACCATTTCCGGTCAATAACATGAAAAAGGCAAACGTTAGATTTTATAACAAAAGATTTTTAGAAACATCCGATGATGACATCAATGTAATCTGACACCGCGAATTCAATGTCAGCAAATTTGCAAGTTTCAATATGGCCTTGTCAGCGTAACATAAAAATTTTTTCTAAAGACATTTAGCATGTTTCGCAATGACAACGATATGTAATATAATAGTAGTGGCGCATTCTGGCGGTCAAGGAGGTTACTTTTCACCTCATCTAGTATGTACGTATGTACATATGTACGTATGTACATATGTATATATATATATATATATATATATATATACAAGGTGGCATGAATACAGCCCCACTCATCCCGAGCAGGTAGAGTGAACTAAATTGAGTAGAAAAGTTCTCTACCATTTTGTAATGCTCGCAATAATTAACGAGATATTAACGTTTAAAGATAGCCGAATACGCTCGACTTACTATTGTCGAAGGTACGGCCCACTGAGCGCACGGCGCGCGGGCCGCAAGGAGCTAGAATGGCCTAGCAGACGCACCGCGCTGTTTGAACTTACGACGGTAAGCCCCGCTCCTCGCGGCCCGCACGCTCGGTGGATCGTACTTTCGGCAATAATAGATCGGGGCATATTCGGGGACGTGCATATTCGGCTACTGCATTACGCTACTGTATATCGTGTTTAAGTATTTGTCAGCAATCGTGGTAGTCACATTGCTGGGGCTACATACCGATAGTTCGATGCTTTCGTGCGTTGTACTCAGACACGTGGAAACAAGTCGATCCATTTATAATTTCCATTGTACATAAATTGTCTCCATATCATTTTTCAATGTATCACATATCATTTTTCAATGATTGAATCGTTCAATGATACATGCCTTTATGGAATATGTTAAATAATGATTTATGTTTTTTCAAGAGTTTTTGCACATTGCATTGTAAAATTCTTTTCCCATATCGGTTTGCAAATTTTTCGGACATCGTCCATCATTTCGAATTATCTTTGCGATCGCTGTAGTCATCTCATTTCCACTCTTGGTTTTCAGCGGTATAGCCCATGCGTGCTTACTCAACACATCGATAACGGTGAGAATGTAATGGTAACCTTTGTTAAATCGCGTGTAAGGGCGCATCTCGACCATATTAGCGTGCCACAAGTCATCCGTAAACTATGACATAGTGGAAAATTTTTTCTCGCTGGAGCGTGCAGTTCTTTCACCAATCGCCACTTTTTGAAGCTTTTCTTCTCAGACATGTTACGTTACATGATTATTACTGTATAATGCGTAAAATATCACAAAGTTTTTACGAAAATGTTGTTCATCGGCATTTCGATGTCAATACTACTAATATGACTGTGTATCCCGTTTCAATTTATAATAAAGCCAGCTTCACAAAGCTCCTCGATAATAGACAATATTTCGTTATTGTAGGCGTTGTGACTTGTCTGACGCGAGACCTCAAGCAATCGGAAACGATCCACTAGCTCGTTAGGATCGTCCCAATTTCTTCCTTAATTGATTATCGAAGACAAAAATGGAATTTGGAAGCGCCTCATTCGATGATTATACATCGTTATTATTGGAAAATGTAAAATAACCAATTTCTTCAATCGGTGCTAATAAATTCTCCAAATATCGGTATTTTGGCTTTTGCAACGATTTCAAGTACACGTACACGTTCTCGAAACGTATGCCGTGGACTTTCCATCAAACTTATCAATACGTTTTGCCGCAGTTCGATGGACCGCAGATAATTCCGCGTATAGAAATCGGCAGCATGTTTCCATACTTGCGTGTTTCTTTTTCAGTCTGTACTTTATTGTCAACATTAATCACTTTGATCATCTGCGATTGTCACACGAACTTCATATCTTCTTTCTTCACGACACTGATAATATTGAAAAAACGACATCAAAAGCGAATGTATTTATAATAGCGCTCACAGTGAAACCGGTCAGTATTCAAAATGTTTCTTATCGTGTCAGATAACTGTGATATACATAGTTTAATCGTCTAAGAATTGGAATATATACCGAAAATTATTTTGCTACGGGAGTTTAAGAATTACATAGATTAACTGTGGGACAGATTACCCGAGCATATCAAGGGTGATTCAAGAGGTTCAACAACATCGTCGGTGCTTGAAATATTATAATTTGCCCTGCTATCGATCGCATATTGATAGTCCAGCGCCGTTTGTAAGAAAACGTAGTAAATACAACAACAACAACAAAAGGCTGCGGTTTTTTAAATCACGCGATAAATGCACTTCCGATTGAGTTGCATATCCCCGGATATCAATTTTGTGGTCCAGCTACGCATTTAGAAAAACGATTGGCTAGAGGTGATCAAGGAATTAATCCGTTAGACGCGGCATATCGCGAACACGATATAGCTTATTCGCGGAGCAAAGATCTCACAAAACGACACGTAGCTGACAAAATCGCTGAGGAGGCGCGGAAACGGATTACCGCGATAGATTCAACTTTTGAAGAGAGAACTGCTGCCACAATTGTTTGGGCTAAAGCCAAAAGGAAAATTGATATAGGCTTGAAAACGAAGATGAAAAAGCCGACGAAAAAACGTATATTACCGGTGGCAAAACGCGTATCTTACCTATTCTACCGCTGTTGAGAATCTTCAACTCGTTGGTTAGCGGCGCGGCAGGAGTCGCAAAAACGACATGAAATCGATTTAATGAAATTCTACATGAACTTAACAGTATGGAGATTGATCGCAGCAGAAACGTTGGAATAATTAGTCCTATAAAGGGTTATGCAACGTTTTCTAATGAAATCACTTATAGTTTGCATAATGCTGGATTTATCGACTCTAATGATACCGCGAAAAGCCTAATGACAAACAATGGATACTACAATAAATTTTTGTATACCGCTCAGCATGTTGTTGGGCTTTTGCGAAGATTACAGACGTGTGGTAATTAACGCTCATCACGAATTAATTTTGATACGAGCACGCAATAATAACAAGTGGCAGATCCAGCGATAGAGTCGACGCTTGAATTATTCAAAGTACAGTGACGAATGCCTCACGTTGCGTTGAACTAAGTTAATAAACTATTCATGCTGCGCACTTTAGAGAGTGTGCGATATCTGAGTATAAGTTTCCTGAGAACTGTATAAGTACCCCCTATTGTTGAGTACAACATAGCATTCCTGAGTCATCAAGACTGCAACTCAGCTGGAAAAACCACGATACATTATTACGATACTTTGTCTACAGAATGATAAAAAAAATATGACAGCACATAAAACTTACTTCGACACCTGTAAATTAACCAATGTAAAACTTTATCCAAACTCTGAATTTCGTACGATGATCTGTATCTAGACTTTGACAAACGCAGAGCTGCTATTTTGTATTGTTATGTCCAAACCCTTGAAAATTTGGTCAAAGAGACAATGAGGGAGAATGAAGAGGGTATGGAAGGACGATTAGACGCTCTGCGCTTCCGCGGGACTCTATTTATACCCCGAAAAAAGGGTATTGTGCCCTTTGTCTAGGATGCAAAAGTTAGTTGCAATGTCACGCGAGATTTATGGTTTTTTATAGCATCCTATCATTGTTAATCTAAAGTACATCGTTAGAGGAGTTTCGAGAAGAAAAGAAGTGATTTACGTTTTTCCTTAAAGAGCCAAAATTGCTCCAGACGGATGACGAAATCTGTTATTCTCGCGGAAAATATGACTAGGTAAACAGATGATTACTGTGCATAACTAGGTTTGCGTGCAGGGCCATTGTCAGTCGCGAATCTGACCTTAGATAACGCTACCGTAGGAAGTTACCGTAGGAAACAAGACTGTTCGAGATCGGTAATTCGAAAGAAAAGCAAGAATTCTTTCAGTCGATCGACATTAA